AATCTGTAGTGAATATACGGTATGCTAATATTATTATTATTATTTTTGTATAATGAACATTGTATAGATAAGGGTAGAAGTTGAATGATATAGTTGGACAGTTATATTAATCAATAACTATAATTTGTTCCCATTTAAAATTTGAATTCTTAATTTAAAACAAATCATTCAGTGTTTTGATCATATTTACCACAGCATAAATAAATAATATTTTGTAAATTAAACTTGTGATTTATTTATTCTATATAAATAAATTACATTTATATATAAAAAATTGTGGTTTATTTGTAAAACTTAAAAGCCATTAGATAGTGCTCTGGAAAACACACTGCATCAATGCATTATTATTATTTCTATTACATGAGATTTGCTGCAGTTTTTAAAAAAAAAAAAAATGAAACTGTTCTTCCACCTGCTTTATTCTAAGAATTCAGCCTCAAGATCAGGCTCAAGAATGGTGGATTCAGACTGTCAAAACAAAAAAAGAAAAAAAAAATATAGAAGTCAATGTAAAATCCTTATTAATTCTCATCGTCCCTTTCAGGATCATCCCCGACGACCACTCCAGTTGTTTTTGGGTGAATCTTGCGATGCCGCAGACGGCTCATCCTTTTTCTCGATATCAAGAACGAAAGCTTTTGCGACGGCTGCTGCTCCTGCTTCTGCTTCTGCTTCTGCTTCTGCAGTTTCACCATCAACATCATCAGGTTTTTCAGCCGACGACTCCTCATCTAGCTCCGACTCAGTATCATCTATCATGTATTTCAGCTTATACACCAGCCTTCCTTTAAGCTGATCGTTATCAGGACAATAACAATCATCATCATTAATACCTATTATTTCTCAAATTTATAGTTTTCAAGAGAGATAATAATGGTATGTACGTACGTATTCGGTTACAGGGGAAGAAGGAGAGCCTTCGTCATCGTTCAAGAACGCCTTATACTCGTACATCACCCACTTGCTCTTTCGTTCTATGGGATTCCCAGTAGACTAGTTCCCTTTTCTCACCAATCTTCTTGCCCTTATAGAAAATATCTTCTGGGCCATCTTCACTCGCTGGTCTCCAGAATCCCATTGCTTCAGCCACAATATCACTGATGTCAAGTCCAAGTGAAACCTCTCTTCTTGTACAGAAGTACCTACATGAATCACTCGCAGGCCGCATTACTGCATGCGCCGAATGTTTGGGTTATAATTAAACTTCATAAGATCTTTTATCTTTTATAGATTAAATTCAAGAAATCAGAAATTGAAGATCAAGAAAAGAAAAAAAAAACGAAACAAAACATCAAGTCTCTCACAGATGTATTCTCGTGGATGCGACAGTTTGTCAATGGCTTCCGTATGCATTATTCTGAAGGGCAATACCAGTTTCATGATTTTGGGGTTCAAGTAAATGACAATTTTCTGATCATCAGTTAACGATTCCATGGTCGCTCTGCTTCAAGAAACAGAGACGAAGACTACACAAAGTTTAATCTTTTCTTTTTTTGGAGACGAAGACTGGAGTTTAAACGATTCCATTGTCTTCTTTATATACATTTGCCTCTTACCAAGTTACGGTTACGTCACACAAGCCAGCTGTTACTCCCAACCGATTCATTTAGTCCTTTCTTTTTCTTACATATTATGAAAGAAGCCATTTTTGGAAAGCTCTGCGGAAATTTTTTTCCCACCAGACAAAGCCTAAGTAAATTCTAGTTTTTCCATCCAAATTTAAACGGTTTCAGCTACTTGAATAAATTTAAAAAGCTCGGGGTATTTTTTTGTTTAAAAAAATTAAGATTGAAATAAAATATAAACTAAAATAATAATTTATGACTAATATAATTATATAATTATCTATTTTAACAAAAAAAATATATATATACGCATGAAATTTATTAAAAACATAATTTTATAATATTTTTAATTTAATTATTATTATTTTATAATAAATATATTAATTTATCATAAATGTAATGTTGTAATTCAAACAAAAATATATTTCAAACCAGGAGAATTGAGATGATTTAATTAGACTAAAAGGTAATTTCCTTTTTAAATTTTCATTACGAATATTTTTATTTCTTTATAATTATCGTTCATTCTTTATTTTATTTATCATTACATTTTTTTAAAATTTATATTCTGTGCTTATTAAAAAAATAGTATATAATAAATTTAGATTACTTTTTTAAAAAATAAATTTAGAAAATTAAAACGTGTACAAACCGCCAAAAATATATACACAATAATGGAGAAAACTATCAGCCCAATTTCTTCAACCCACGTTCATCCCCTCAAGCCCACTTCTGCTACGAACCGCCAACAATCTGTAACGTGCTCTGAGAATCAGAAATAGGGTTTCCGCTTTACAAATTCACAAAACTATATGTTTAGCTCTTTCATTTAATGTATTTGTTTGTTGCCCAGGCTCTTAAACCGCAGCAAAACCTCTCAGCTATTGGAAGCACAAGGAGTATTAGCTTCTCATTGCTCCACTCTCATCCCTTTTCCTCCACTTCCATATCTAATAATCACACACCAACGAACCGAAAGGGTGAGGATTTGGTGCATGAAAAAGTAGGAACCATGTCGACGGATCTCAATGATTTTACCATCATCAAGGAAGGCGAGGCTGAGATCCTCATGCATGCCAAAAACGAAGTCTTTTACAACAAAACCCAGGTCTCAAAGACGTAGTCTTTTACTCTTGTCGATTGGGTGCTTGGTTTTCAATTATCTCTGTTTCCACCACTTGTGTTCAATTTCTGCTTATACTACTTTGTCTGTGTTCTTGGGTTTTATTATGTTTGTTTTATGCTTGTTCGATAGTTTCATAAGAATATTTTAGTAGAATCTTGAGTTTAAAAGAATTAGGATGTGGAAGATTTCTAGTTTTTTTGGGTGCTTTTTCTGTTACTATGGTGTCTTATTGGGTCTTTGAATTGAAAGCATTGATGAAAGCTTGCGTTGGTTGCTGAAGAAATCTGGGAATATAAAGTTTTAAGATTTTGAATTAGATGGTATCATAGTCGTTGCTTTATGTCTATGATGCTGACTTGACACGCCGTGGTTCATTTGTATTATCAGTTCAGAAGCTCTCTTGATTTGGTTGAACAGCAAACTGACAGTTAAAATCTGGCTTGTCTGCGTAATTGAACTATTCATTAACTAAGTTTGCACCCTAATCAATCCTCATTTGAAAATCTGGGCTGTCTTGGCTCTGCCGTGCACCTGTTGACATTATTCTGAAGTTTACATATATCATGGTTATGCTTATAATGTCTTGCAAGGACATGTCCATTCCTGCATACTATCTTACATGTATATTAGTCTGAATTTTGCTGTCTCCTAATAATTGTTTGCTATATAATGGTCAGGTCAACAACAGAGACATGTCAATTGCTGTTCTGAGGACATACATATCCAAACGCAAGCAGGAGCATGAAGCAATTTTGTCTAAAAGATTGAAATCAGCAATGAAGGTGGCCCAGAAGGATGATTCGGAATCTGTTGCGGAAGAAGCTCTCAATGACTATGCTATGGAGAGTGAAAAACCTAACGGAGAATGTGAAGAAAATGAAGAGATATCACAGGATGAAACTTGTAGCATATCACAAGAATCTGCCAAGGCCCCAGAGGGTAAAGTTCGAGGGGAACTCAAGCCACCAAGAGTTCTTGAGGTTTTCCTATATTCTTCCTAGTTACAGAAATATGTATATTATTTTCTGTTGATCCATTTGAGGTTCTACAACATTCTTAGGTTAACTTGTCCATTTCTCTGATTCTCTCTTCTTTGCTTTGTAGGCCCTTTCAGCTTCTGGATTGAGAGCTCTAAGATATGCCCGTGAAGTAGATGGGATTGGTAAAGTTGTTGCACTGGATAACGATAAAGGTGCTTTTGAGTAAAGTTTTTTCTGTTCTTTCCTAAAGAGCCTTGTTGCTTTTTAAGAATGCAATTTTATCTTGCTAATATGCATGTACAGATAAATATGCATGCAATTTTATCTAGCTAGGAATGCAGTTTTTTCTCTGTTCCTTCCTAAAGATCCCCCTCACCCAATTTTATCTGTGCAAAAATTGTTCTTCTTTCTGACTTGATAATGGCACGTTCGTGGAATGGAGGAACTTATATTTAGCTAATATGCATGTACAGTTTGGTTCTTGTTCAGATTTGTGTTCACAAACATAAATACTTTCTTGCATTTGGATTCATAGCATATGTCATTGCAGATGTCAATAATGAAAATCTAATCCATCTTTTAGAAGGCTGTTTGCAGCATTTTTGCTTATGCAACACCATTCCTCATAAGAGTTATTATTTCCGTCTTCTTTCTTGCAGCATCAGTTGAAGCTTGTAGGAGAAACATAAAATTCAATGGTTCGGTGGCATGTTCGAAGGTGGAATCTCAGCATGTTGATGCTCGTGTGTTTATGCTTACTCATCCAAAAGAATTTGATGTGGTATGCATTTGTTACTTTTTGTGGTAACTTAAAAGGTATAGATATGCAGATATATAAAATCATGATTAATGCCTTCTGCTTTCTGGTTTTGCAGGTTGATCTTGATCCCTATGGTTCCCCTTCAATATTCCTGGACTCTGCAGTTCAATCTGTTGTGGATGGAGGCATGCTGATGTGTACAGCAACCGATATGGCGGTCCTTTGTGGGGGTAATGGCGAGGTGTGCTATTCCAAGTAAGATACTCCAGTCTTCATTTCAACTTTGTTTCTGAATTTCTGAGCCTAAGCATTTTATTGATCATGGGTTCAGATATGGTTCTTACCCATTGAGAGGGAAATACTGCCATGAGATGGCTTTGAGGATTCTTCTTGCAAGCATCGAGGTACTTTTATTTCTGTGAAAAGGCATTTATTTGTTGACTAAGAACACATATGAAAAGTAGTCAGTTGTTTACTGGGCAGACTACGCTTGAAATAATATTTTGGTTATCTTGCTAATCTTTTGTTTTAGAAAGAAGTTATTGATTTTGGCATCTTGAAAGTAAATGAATCAGTTAAACTATTTGACCCTGTTCTTGATATCTGTTGCTTCTCCTTATCTCTTTCAATTCTTTTTTTCTTCCTTTGGCATTTGTTCTCTTCATCACTAAAGCTTAGGTATTTCTCTATAATAGTGCCATAAAGGGATAATCTTATAACGGTTTTTAATCTGATGCAAATTTTTCTCAATTTCTTTTTGGGAACGCAGAGCCATGCAAATCGCTACAAGCGGTACATAGTTCCTGTGCTGTCTGTACAAATGGACTTCTATGTTCGAGTTTTTGTTCGTATATACACGTAGGCCCTTTTTTTTATTTTATATGAATAACTTCCAGATTGAAATAGGACTCATATCATGATCACTTAAAATGAAGGTTGAATTGATGCAGTTCTGCAAGTGCGATGAAGAACACTCCTCTTAAGCTCTCATATGTTTATCAGTGCACTGGTTGTGATTCTTTTCATCTTCAATCCATTGGAAGGACTCTCTCCAAGGTCTGTTTCCTTTTTTGATGTCAAATTACTGGTTATTTGTCTTTGACATGTACTTGACTTTCAATTTTTTTCCATGCATGCCGATTAGGAAAGTAGGATACTGGCATTTATGCTCACTATTTTGTACTGAGAAACACAGTATTTTGTAATCAAGATCTTGTATAAGCATTACCACATGCCAAAAAACATTTATTTATTTTTTAATATCAGCAAGACAACAGTAAAAAAAGGCATCTCTTTACTCACCATGAGTGCTAATAAATCTTTGATTTTCTTTCCTAAAAAAGGCCTTGCTTATTGTTGTATATATAAAGAAAATAATAGTCAGCAGTGTCATCATATCAACACAGCTGGTGTGTTGTGATATTAACATTGTTTTTGGTTCATTTTTTATTAAATTCTTAGTTCTGGTTACCATACTAGTCCTTAATGCATAATTAGAATTAGCTTTTTTTTTACTTAGGGGTAAAGTTGGGTAATATTGATATCAATTTACCAACTAAGCTTAAGTTTAAAACTGTTGACGATACCAAACAAGGATAAAAGATCCAAAAACTGAACTGAATTTATTCAGTTTCAGTTTAGACGAAAAACTGAACTCTTGAGGTTTTTCCTTTTTCTAATATGATGACAAAGTGCAAAACATATCTATCTTATTATGTATAGTTTTTTTTAAATATGCAGTATTTTGGTAAAGCCAAATTATCATAAATTTTGTAACAAGAAATTGATACAAACCAAATTACCAGATTACTAAAATATTTTTAACTGAATTTATTATTTTTTTTCAGATTACCAGACCCAATTTACCAAATTTATATTTTGTCAGATTACGAAAGTCAAATCTGTTTCTAGTACCAAACTTTCATCTTTAGTTTTGAGTAGCCACCACATCCACTGCAAATTTCTTGATGTTGTGGATTCAACTCCTCTTTGAAAGATAGAAACTGCCCTTATACAATCAAGAAACGAAGTATGGTGTTGGTAATTCAAAACAAACAAGCCACCTTTTAGTTATGCTATTAAGACTAATACAGAATGAGAACTAGGAATTGTCTAAGAATGGACGAGGATATGAACCAAACTCAAGTAAAATGTTCTAATTGCTTTTGTCTGTAGTAAGCATGACAACTGATGCTGCATTTGGTGTGACAAGTGTAAATTTTACCTAGGGACATAAATATATCTATTTTCTTGGGTAATTTAGTTGCATGTCTTATAAAGAAGAACAGGAGAAATAATGAGGATAAATTAGTCCTGGAGAATTTTTGGTGGCATCTTTTCAAATCTTAAGGGATGTCTCTGTTTTATAAAATAATTTTAAACTTAAAAATTTTTGACATGGGATCTTCCTTTATCTTCAGAATAACAGTGTGAGATATCTACCTGGATTTGGTCCTGTTGTTCCCCAAGAGTGTAGCGACTGTGGGAAGAAATTTAACATGGGTGGACCTATCTGGTCTGCTCCCATCCATGATCAGGAGTGGGTGACTTCCATATTATCAGATGTGAAATCTATGAAAGATAGATATCCTGCTTACGAACGCATCTCTGCTGTAGTGACTACAATTTCAGAGGTTAGCTTTTATTAATTGTTTTTCAATTTGCTTGCAAATCTGTGGCCTGATTTGACAGTTGAATCAAATTATTCAGGACAGCCTACTACAATGTTGATGGTGGAAGTAGAACATGGTAGTGTTTAGACACTATTCCCAAGATGATATGTGACATGGGTTAATAAAATTATTTAAGTTTTTGCTGTACCAACTGATGTTGCACAGTTCCATAATTTTACATGAAAATTTAATTTTTTCTGCTTATTTTGGCCATAACTGGGTGGTGACTTCTTGTTTCTGCTTTCCTTTGTTGATGTTTAGTAGTAATTGTACAAGCTATATTTTGTTTTAAAAAAATTTGATCTTACAAGCTATATCTACCACTTGTACTTCCCTGCATCTCTTGAATTATAACTTCTGTGATAAGATTATCTAAAATCAACTAACTAAATTATTTGTAACAAGTGTTGCATTTACAAATAATTTATGTGCCTTATGCTGAAGTGATAATTATTTTTCCAAATTTGCTGTTGTTAAGAATCTTGTTTTACATGAGAATCATATGTATCTGAACCTGGGGGTGTCACTTGAACCTTCAACCTCAACTTAGTTGAGGAGTAACCAACCAACTCTATTAAGTTGGTATAGCATGCTTATACTAGATTTTGGTTGTTCATAGTATTAGAAGATTCTTTTGGTATAAGAATGCATATGTATGGACCTCTTATCCTTGATAAGCCGGAAAGCCAAAGTGTTATTGCTGATTTCCCCATTCTGGAACTTTATGCAGGAATTGCCTGATGTTCCCCTCTTTTTGAGTCTGCACAACCTCTGTGCAACTCTAAAATGTACTTCACCATCAGCAGTGATGTTCCGATCGGCAGTTATCAATGCAGGTTATCGTATCTCTGGAACTCACGTGAATCCACTTGGGTTAAAATCTGATGCCCCAATGGATGTTATTTGGGACATAATGCGCTGCTGGGTAAGAATTCCCTTTCATTTCCTTTTTTTTATGCAGTTTAATGTACTTCAAAGTTGATTTCAATTGTAATACAAATTGAATTTCAGTGATTATCAACTATTTGAAGTGGCACACGCACACACTGGCAGACTGCCTTCATCTTTTGTGAAGGAATAACATTTACTTGTCTATTGCACGATGTATTAAGGATTAGATGATTGCTTGCATGTTATGCTGCATTCTCTAAATGCTCCTGGGACGGTATGGAATTTTGACATTGATGTAATGGTTTCTTTATATTGAAGGTCAAGAATCATCCAGTTAAAGCACAGCCACCTGACCAGCCTGGAAGTGTGATACTTGCTAAAGAACCAAGTCTTGAAGTATGTTTCTAGTGGAACTCTGAATGCTCCTTCAGAAACAAAAAAACACCTCAATTTTTCAACTTCTTCTCTCTTACTATATACACAGTGACACATATATGTATAAAAGTAGAGACTGAGAAAGCTGGCACCCAACTAAATCTGTGATATTTCTTTTGTACAGGCAAATTTTGCTCGAGCTGTTGCATCGCTTAGCAAGGCGCAGGCAAAGAAGATTGCTCGCTTCCTTCCAAATCCTGAAAGGCATTGGGGTCCAAAGGTAAGGGCAGGTCGACAAATCACCAGCAAACACGTCTCTCTTCTTGGTGCAGAAGCAGTGAATGGTTGTCTTAACCGTGAAGATGGTGATGAGCCCAATGGTAAGCGTCAAAAAACGGACGATCCGACTTCAACTTCGGAAAATTAGCACTCAATGGTTGCTGCCCACGAATTTAATTTGTTCTCCGATGAGTCATGGTAAAGAAAATTTTCCTGTAAGTTTGTTCAAAAGAGATTGGAAGGGCTTGCATTTTGCAGCCAGGGAAGGTGCTCTTCCAACTGATTGTTATTGTTTCAAGCAAAAAGAGAGAAACTGAGTGAACTTTTTAGTGAATGTTGAAGCAAATTTTGACAGTTTTAGGTATTGGAAATGTACGATGTGATTTTGTTGCTTGCAGTCAATATAATTTATTGATTTACAGCCTCAATGTTAGTTATATCTGATATTTTTAGCATCCTCATTTGTCAAATAAGTGCTACCATCTTTCAGAAAGTCGTAGTAGTATTGTGGTGAGTATTCCCGCCTGTCACGCGGGTGACCTGGGTTCGATCACCGGCAACGGCGACTTAATTTTTCATAATCCGGGATTCTGCATGTTAAATAAGAAAACTGCAACCATCTTTCAAAATGTCGTTGTAGTATAGTGGTGAGTATTCCCGCCTGTCACCCGGGTGACCCGGGTTCGATCCCCGGCAACGGCGATTTACATTTTCTTTAAAACTCTCGAAATAGAACTTTCAGCGATTTCTTTTTTCTTTTTTTTTTTTAAAGTAATGGTTTTCTATCACTTCTTTTCCATAAGACCATATCTGGACTGAAATTTAAAAATATTCTTTCTATATTTTTTAAAATAAAAATTATTTTTCAAACGAATTATAAAATTATGAATTAGAAATATTTTTAATATTTATAGGAATAAAACTACGAATTTACATCGATCAATACGCTAGAAGAGTTGTGCATGCATCTCAATAATATTATAGGCATATATAATGTTATTGATCATGGTCAGTACTTGGACTTATCATCTTTTATTGGTAGAAGCAAGCGCTTCTATTTGCTTACTTCAAAACAAAGCTTAGGAATAGACTTAAAGCCTGAAATACCATGTTTATATCAATAATGGGCATAGAAATCCTTTTGAAATTAGTGACCGAAACAATTTTCACGTTCTGTATGGGAGCCTTTTAAATCACTGTCCTACTTTGTAAAGAATTACAAATTATGATAAATAGTTTTTGGTGAGGAAGAAAGAAAAACGGACAAAGGAATCTGCCTTGGAAACCCGAAGCGATGTATTTTAGTAAAGAGGACAGAGAAATGGAGTTTTGCAAATTGCATGAATTTCATCTTGTCATGCTGAGAAAACATGGTTGAGAATTCTAAGTAACCTAAACTCATTATTAGCTCGGACGCTCAAAGCCAAATATTTTCCAAGAAGGATATTGGAGCTAATCCTAGTTTTACTTGGAGAAATTCGATGGTTGCAAAGGAATTGCTACAACATGGACTATGGTGGATTGTTAAAACAAGTCAGCATGTGAACATATGGGTGGATCCATGGTTACCTAGACACCAAGATATGATATTCGAAGTTTGTGCATTGAAAGCCTTTAAAGTATGACAGTAATTGACCTGCTTAACGCAGATAAGGTCAATTAGAACGTGGATATGGTGAAAGGAATATTTATCGAGGAAGAAGCTAATCTGATCAATAGTATTTTCCTGAGATTTCGCTGTAGGGAAGATAGATATGCATATGGTACTTGTCTCCATATGATAAATATTCGGTAAAATCTGCATACCACCTACTACGAGGTCGTCCTTTATCTCCGATGCAGTATGAAATAAATATCTGAAAATATATGTGAAAGTTCGCAATCCCGCCCAAAGTAAGAAACTTTATTTGGTACTTACTACAAAAAGCTCTCCCAGCAAAATTAGTCTTGAAAGAGAGAGGTATGGAGTTGGAGACGGGATGCCCAAAGTGTAAGTTGGAGGAAACTGTTGAGAACACTTGCATAGAGTGTGAGAAAGTAAGGAATTGCTAACGGTTAATGGATCTCAAGGAATTGCTGTCGGTTAATGGACCTCAACATTAATGAAAAGGATAGCAGGGATCTATGGTTGGGGTAGAGGGGAAAATCAAGATGCTATCCAAGGATCAAGTCTGTAAAATACTCTGTTGCCTTTGGAGACTCTGGTTCGAACGAAATGAGGTACATATGGCTGGGTAAACCTTTTGCTGATCAGATTATTGTTTACTTAGCAAAAAAATTCCTAACTAAACTGTGATATGCCCAGGACATCAAAAGACGACGGGATACACAGGGTACAGGCGAGGGCTCTGATGCAAAATGGTTAGCACTATCGTTGGGAGTATCAAAATGCAATATCGATGCTGCCATCTTCGACACTAGTGAAGAAGCGGGTTACGATGCAGTGGTTAGAACTCAGAAGGTCAGGTATTGCTTGCTCTCTTAGGCAAACTCCACGGATGCAGGAACACTTATTCGGTAAAACTTTTAGGATGTGAGAACAACTTGAATTACATTACCTCCAACTATCAGACCCAGGTAGAGTTGAAGTAGACACATTGAAGGTGCATCGGGTGCTGACAACGAACGAAGAAGACAACTTAGAATTTAGCTTGTTGATGATTGCAAATTCTAATTGTCTATCTAGTCCAATATTTTGGTTTGATGGGTAAGACAACATTGTAATAAAATGGTTCATAGCATTACTCGCACTGTTTGTTGGTTTCCGGAGTCCCAAGTTTGAAGAATCTCCCACTGGATATTGCTTTAATGCCCACTTAATATTATGAATGAATTCCTTTTAAAAAAAAAGCATAACTTACAACTAAATGAAGAAATCTTCGAATTATTAGATCAGAACTTTTTCTGAGAAGCCAAACACGCAGCACAAGCCATTCCGTGCAGGTTGAGTATCTCCCCCGTGGACTTTGCTATCTTGGGTTCAAGACCCTTTACATGCTTTATAAGGCTTAGCAAAATACAAACTCACACAAGCCTATATGTCCTGTAGACGTGTAATTGTAGGCATTGAGAGAAATACCAAAAGCATATAAACATTAAAATGAAATCGTGATTAAGGATTTCTGTTTGCTCCTCTGGATAAGTGTAAGCATAATGTTGAAAACTTACTTTAGCTTTCTTTCAGTTCTCAACACAAACTCTAAAAGACGGGAAACCAAACAAGTAAACGTTGTTATTCAAATTCAGTACTGTATGGAACTATATCTTATTGTTCTTCTATGCTCATAGCATTTTGTAAATAAATAAACCTATATCCAACAGCTTCCAGACCGGATCCCTGACTTTTGATTTATCAGGAGACAAATAGAAGAGAAAACTAAAGGAGGAAGGAGAGTAATAATACTATTTGAAAAGACTATCCATCCCATAAATCATGGAAAATTAATGTTATTTGAAGCTAACCAAAATCCTGGCTTAAGCTTTTCCATTGGGTGCGTTAGAGGGGTTAAGCTCATCCCAAGCTTCTATCCATGTGACCATGGCATCTGCAAGCTTGTCAAAGTAAGGATCAACCTTGGCAAGCTTCTCTTTCACCTGCTTTGACAGTTCAATATAGCACTTTTGGACAGTGGTGCAATCTTTTGGAAGCACAGCCGACTGGAAAAATGGGATGATCTCTTCCTGCCAGAAGATGCCTTTGTATTCTTTCTTCAGATTCACAAATGGGTTGCTAGCTTTGCTGTGAAAGATGTAGGGCAAACCTGTCTTCACCCCCAACCCCAAGTGATCACATATCACCTGAAAAAAATTACCAAGCTTTCAGTTATTTACAGTTTTCTCTGATGGGATGCAGCAGATCGTAAATGGCAAGACTGGGAAAAAAGAAAAACAGTAGGTTACCTTGGTGCACCAACCAGCCCACATATCGTCATAGCGGCCAATTGGCTGACCATCACCCATCAGTCCAAAGTACATTGCAGGCCCAATCAACTCACGGTCGAATGCCAAGTTCATGCCACACATAGGGAACAGGGTTCCCTTTGGAATCGTCAAGACAGCATCCACATACCTGACAATATGAAATACAAGTTAGTGAAAATTAAACTGGGAAGACATTGGTGGTTGTTTGTGCAGGTACATGAAGAGTAACCTAGTATTTCTTTCAAGAGGCTTCACAAGCTGTGTTGGGGCATCGTAATCTGGGATGTTAAGCCAGAGGCCGTGAGAAACAGCAGTTGGAACACCCTCACGGAGACTGAAAGGATATCCACGGACAAAATCTGCACCATCACGGAAAGGGTCATACAGTGTATTGAAGAAAAAGGGAGTTGACGGACTGAGAAGGTTCTTGATGTGCTGCTCAAGTGCATTAATGGCTTTTCCAGATGGATCCTTAGCAACCTACGAATCATTAATACTTAAATCAGTAAATACTTACAAAAGGGAAAAGCGAAAGGAAAAACACGTGATCTCATTGGAAGACATCCTTAGATTAACCAGTCTGGTAACGAAAGAACACAATCTTGTTCATGTTCATAGCATCAAGAAAGAATATCTACATTTGGTTAACCCTGACAAATTGACAAAACTCAGGAAAAGTACTGATATTTCATTCTCATATCAGCAAGGAAGATGATCAAGCAATCAGAATTTTCAATTATTATACCAGTAATGTGAAAATACGGTCAAAATATCAGTCAACTGCTTGGACAACTACACAACATTTAAAATTCTTTTTGAAATATCACAAAAAATATTTACTAATTTTCCCATATAAAGCGCCATATCAGAATAAAATCTACCCTTTAGTTGAATGCTATTTTCAAAGGAAACCAGAACATTAGGCTGCATGATAACGACCTAAAGAATCATGCAGTGCAAGCTATATTTAATTATTGTACATACCCACATGAAAAAGAAAAGGTGAAGCCCCTTTTCGATAATAAGTAGAAAACAGATCTGTAAATTTATAAAGATCTTGAAATTTCACAGCTATGGACCACATTCTGAATCAATTATTTATTCGTTACAGACACATTATCATGATTTGGCATGTGGAGAACTGTCAAAACAGCGCATTCCAAACAGAATATTTTTTTTTAATCTAATTCCATAGTCAAACAAAGCTGATGCATATAAGAATCATATAAATACAAAGAACACCGTCACATCACATTAAAAAAGAAATAAGAACAAAGCTTGAAACTTCCAAATCTAGTATATCAGAGAGCACGAATGGGGCTATCTCTGATAAAGAGCTTGTGGGTCAAATTTGATCCAATAAATTATTGAGCGGGAGAGATCTGAATAGTTTACTGACAATCGTGCACAAAAGTGAAAACCAGATGCAACTGTTTGACACAAGATAACAAGCATCGATTTTGCAATCTGCATCAATGTTTTGTAAGATGCCATGATGTGATTTCACTGACAGATGAGTTTTTCTCGCATCCAGTCAATAAGAGTTGAATTAGGGGTTAGGGACTATGTTCACTTATCATATCTACACATGATATTGAGGATTCCGAAATCAAAAACACAGAACATGTAACTCAATATCATCACCATAATTACTCTCATCATAAAGTAAAAACAAGAAAGAGCACGAAAGCAAAAATTGCATGCAAAGCATGATGGAGAATGTATGTTGATCAAATCCACAAATCACACCAAGAGAAAATAAAAAAGAAATACAAACACCTAAGAAACCAAATCGACCAAATTCCTAATATTACAACGTCAAAATTTATACAAAATAGCAAAAACCCAGATAGTAAAGACACGGAATTCAATCTTTTTTATCAAAGAAAAAGACTTACAAAGCAATCATCATCAATGGTGAAAATATATTTCTTCTTGGACACCATGTAACCGAAGCATCGGCAAGCGGAATCCTTGAAGGAAATACAGGAGGCCTTGGGGCCCAAGATCTTATTAATATCGTTCCTATTATAGAGCTCGTAGTCAAAACCATCAGGTACCTTGATGATTTTTGATGGGTCACCATCTTGGACGATGATCAGATGGTAGGGTTGAAAGAAGGGCCTCCACATCTCGAGAAAGTCGAGATTCCTAATGGTGGGGATGACAATATCAAGCTCATCTTTCAACAACGGTGTGTTATCAATTACAGGTGCCCCACCAGTAGTAGCAGGCTCAACCATTGTAGAGATTTGGGGGAGTTGCAGAGAGGGATTTGGAGGGGGAAAGAGGGTAATGTGAAAAGAGGAGTTTGTACGGGAGTATTATATGGGAGGGTTCGTGGGAAGCGGAATGAGCGGCAGGTGCGGAGGGGTAATTTAAGACGCGTCTGAATTTCTCTGGTAATAAAGAATTGTTCCAATGGCCTTTGCCGTTATTTATGGGGAAAACGCGTTCTTAGATTTCATTCACTTCTTTTTTACCCCAAAATCCTTTTTTAAGTTAATAAATATTTATATATATATATATATATATATTTCTTTAATCAAAAATTTCATATATTTTATTTTTTATAAAAAAAAAAAACATCTAAAAGATACAACTAAAAATATAATTTTATTCGAATCTGTAATTGTTGATATTTATTACAAAAAAGTAATAATTAAAACTTAAGTTAATAAATATAAATGCATATATCAAATTTGTTTCACTAACTTTTATAATAAAGTTGTTATTAACTTTCAGGACATAGTTATAATTATCTTATAAATTTATGAAAAATAACGGATAATTTTATTAATATAAGTGAGTAAAATCTAATAATTTCATAAATAATAAACATACAAAATATAAAAAAATTTATAATTTTAGTTATGTCATTTATTACCACAGTTTAATTATATGATTTATTTTAATAAAACTTATAGTTGATAAATATTTTTCTGTGTAAATTTTATAAATTATACGTATTAAGGTTCAAAATAAAATAAAAGTATAAAGAAAAATTTAAAAAAAAAAATATGCATTGCCACTTATAAAAAGGAAGAGGGAAGCAAACTTAATGCAGTTTATTAATTCGATTGTAACACTAATTTCAATAATTATACAGTTACGAAGAGTTTAACAAGTTAAAAAATAATAAATTTATTATTTATTATAATTTTTAAATAAAAATAAAAATTAAATAATTTCGAATATGAATTTTTATTCGTGAAATGTGTAGACAAAAAGAATTAAAAATAAATCCAAAAACTTTATCATTAATTAAATATTTTAATAAAATTATAATGCCTGCCTAACGTAAATCAAAAATATTAATTAATCTCATAAATACCGGATTACCTCCCCAAACCAAACCTAATCTAATCTTATTTTTATTGAGGCAGTGTAGACTTTTTTAATATTTGACTTTAATTTCTATTTTTTTTTAATTAAAATTGATTATTATTTCAAAAACTAATTTAGCTTCAATATTATTTGATTAGTGAGTCAATATTTTCAAATAATTTTTAATGTGTAATGATTTATATTGATTTATATAATAGATAAGTAAAATCAAAATATGACACATTAATTCTTTTTTTATTTATTTTTTAAATTAATCTAAAAAAACAAAATAAATTTAAAATGATGATTATATAGTAATTATTTTTTAAAATATAAAAATAAATATTAATTTTTAGTTAACTATATATAATAATAATAATTATTATCTATTAAGTTTTTAATTAAAAGTAATAAAAGAGTTATTTATTTAAAATTTCAATCTAAGTATAAAAATAAAAATTAACTTTTAGTCGAATACAAACATATATATATATATATATATATTAGTTATTTATTTGAATTTTTAATTACTTAAAATTATAAAATATATAAACTTTTGACACGTATTTCTCTATTAAAATGTTATTTATTATTCTAACATATATCTTGTAGATGATATAACAATAGCTTTGGATCTAAATTTTTAATATTATATTCTTACTTTGATTTTATTGCTTATCATAATTGTAAATAAATGGTAATGCAAATTTTGACTTTATTTACTTCAAACAGATAACATTATATGATTATATTATATTTAATTAATCAAATTTAGTTACAAACATGCTGTCATTACTAAGCAGAATAAAAATATAGTTAAATATTTTTTTAAAAAGGTTAAAATCTCGTTAATTAGGGCATTAACTTTTTAATAAAATTGGGCCCAACAGTTTGATTTGATTGAAAATCCACTCTCGTATGGTACTTAAAAACCTATTCCTCTATATAATTCCACACACTTTACTTGTTCGTGCCCTCAATTATTTAAAATGGATTTAAACAATATTTTATATAAATATTTAATGAATTTAAAAAAAATAATAATATTTATGTCGGTTAAATCTATGATTATATCCGAAATATCAAAAAAAAAAAAAAAAACGCTCTGTGTGATTCATTTTTTCTTTCTTAATCTAATAATATATGTTAGAGAACATAAATATATATACACAAGGGTATAATGGGCCTATACATCTCTTCTGTACACACAAAAAAGTTGGGTTTTTTTTGCCCTTTTCAGTAAGATGAGTAGACTCTAATGTGAAGTCCATTAGGTGCTTCAACTCTTGGAAATTTCATCAGTTTGTCTCCTCCAACTTCTTCCCATCTGCTCCCAAGAAAAAAGGAAGAACCCATCTTGTTAATTCAATTTCTAGCTCTGAAAAATTTTATAAAAGGAAAACAGGTGTTTGTTTTTACCTGTATCTAGTTACAAAGTAGTGAAGAAAAGTAGAAATTTCTGCTATGCCTAGTTCTTTCCCAGGGCATTGTCTGCTTCCCCCACCAAATATCAAGAAGTAACTTTGTGACTCCAAACCCTTGTCCTGTATGCAGTAATTTTTTTTGGATTCAGTATGATATTTTTCATTAACAGAAAAATTACAGCAAGTTAAAAAAGGAAGAGGGGAAAGAAGACGAACCAGCCATCGCCATGGATTGAATGCTAGTGGATCAGGATATAGATATGGGTCATAATTTATCTCTCTGGTATAAACATAAATTCTCCATCCTTTTGGAATCACAAATCCTGAAACAACCAAAACTTTGATCACCCACTTGTAATTTTTTTTACTATTCACACTACCAAATCTTTGTTTTAGGAAAACATGTTGTTAGCCATGGGAGATGTTTCCCAAATCCCTCCAACCCAAGATAAAGTTTCTTTCTCTGTTAAAATCAAAATTGGTTTACATAAAGATATGCAAAGATTGAGCCAAAAAAAAAAAGACTCTTTTTCATCAGAAAGAGTTCTATTCTTGTCAAAAATCATTGAAACAAGACATGGGTCATCAAGGGAATTGTCTAGCTGGATTGGTAGGTATGCCATGTAAATCATGATAGAGTGAGGTCCACTCAGGGAGCTGATCTCATGTTCATGACATCTTTTACATGTTTTCATGTAATTATATATCAAATATATATATACATATATATATATATTTCCCTATATGAAAAGTTGTGTATGATTACCATTCACTTCCATTTCTTGAGTAGTTTTCCTCAAAACTCCATTAACAATTGTAGCTAATCTTGAAGTCTCAAAGATCACCTGCATACAAATAATCAAGCATAAATTTTACCAGTCATTTTTTTTTTTTTTCAAAGCTTCTTCAAATCAAAAGTCTGTACGATTAATATATTTAGTGAATAAAGATCTGTTACCGCTCGTGTAAATCGCATCGATTTAAGGTCACTCCATTCAATAGGATCCTCCGGCCTTTTCCTTTGTCTAATTGCAATATGTTCTTTCTGTAACAACAAGTTCAAACACCAAAATCAAAACAAGTTATTTATTTTTTTTCTTTTCATATTCCTAATAAACAAGCTCTTGTTTCCTTTTTCAACACTTACTCTAAGTTCTTGTAGAACTCTTGGATGATCATGCAGATACTTGACTGCCATCATTGAAGTAGTTGAAACCGTCTCGTACCCAGAATACAGTATTGTAATTATTTGATCAATTATCTGTTCATCACTTAATCGATATCTACTTTCTTCATTTCCCATCAAATAATGAAGCATGTCTTGGTGGGTTTCTGGAGAAGCCCTTCTCTCTTCTATCAGCTCTCTTAGCATGCTAATAATGTTTTTTCTTGCCTGCAACATAATATACATTCTCAGTCATGTTAGCTTATATTTAAACACATAAAAAGCTTCAATCTTTACATGAAAAGTGTTGAAGATTACCTGGAATCCACGACGATAATTTGTGCCTGGAAGATCAATAGGAAGAGACAAGGTTCCTAGCACAAGCTTGAAGAATTCAGCCATGAATTCGTTGGCCTTTGGACTTGATTCAACACCAGCTATCTGCTTGAGTGATGAAAGGAGTGCCATCTACAAAACATGTATATACATATAGATTAGAACAGGGGAAAAATGAAGTGAAAAACAATACAAGAAAAGTTTGAATGACGATGAAACAAACCTCTTTAGTCTTATCTTGAATGTTGATGATTTTTTTATCCCAATCTGCAAGGTGGGTTCTCATGAAATCATCAATTTTAGGCAAAAGCTGGTCTCTGATGATTGAAGGACTGATTAGAGCAAGCAATGCACCTCTCATTTGCTTGTGGGTAGAACCATGAACGGCTGCAATGTTGGATTTACCCAAGATATCAAGCATGGATTGAGGGTAGCCAGGGACTAACCCTTTTGCCTCATTCATCAATATGTATCTGTTCACCTCTGGATCCATGGAAACAATTGTAGGACACCCCAGAATATGTGATTTGAAAAAACTGCCATACCTGTTTTTCAATAAACAAACCAAGATTATGTTATACTCATTTTAAAAAAAAAAAAAAACATGTTTTTTTAGTGTTAATGGAGTTGAATTTACAAGAAAACCCCTATAAACTGTTGATACTAACACAGATGTATTGGTCCATAGTTGGGTATAGTTAGTCAAATCTCCCCCATAAGTATGAAATCACTTATAATTTTATAATTTCATTGTTACTATCTCTTTAAGCCATTTTAATCTAGGAAAGGTCTCAGGAAGGATGAAACTCCCATAGCTCTAGAGAGTGATTTTGTTCAAAAATGTATCTGAAGCGAAGAGAGTGAAGCTTTGAAGCCACTCCAGAGCAGATGAGGAGGAAGAAGAAAAAGAAGAAGAAGAAGAAGAAGAAGATCACCTTGCTCTCTTGTTTTTCATAAAGTTGGGACCATGTTTGAGGAACTCAGTGGTTTCTCCAAAGATAGGCCAACCCATTGTGCCAGGAGGAAGACCCTTCTTCATATATCTAACCTCATTCCATCTCAACAAAGAAGCACAGGTGCAGAGCACCAAAAAGAATAAGACAAGAACCACCATGAAAACAGCCATTGATGATCTCAAAAGAGAAGCTTCAAGCCCACTTTCACCAGACCTGTAAAAAATGGTATGGGCTCTGTTCTCCTTCCAGTTTTAGCCAGAAATGCAAACACAGAGACATACATATATATAGACGCTCAATCTAAAGCAGAGTGAGAAAGAGGTTATTTGCTACTTGGCATCCTACTAGAAAGGGACCCTACTTAGGACCCCTAGTAATAAAAGCTTACCCAGAAAATTAAATTGAGAAATTTCCTTTATCAAGTCGAGCCAACCGATTGTTTTTAACCAAAACAAAAAAAAATGGTAAGAGTAATTAAAAGTAAATGTGGAGAAATAGAAAGAAACTGGAGAAGAAAAACTGGATTTTATTTAGGGCACATGGGAAGCACCCCATTGGACCTTTAAACAAAAAGCACAGCCCTAAAGTCTCCAGTACTTCACATGTCTCTCAACAACATCTGCCCTCTTGAATTTACCAAAAACACCCACAAAATTAACTCAAACTTATACACAGGTTTAACCTAATTTCTTTTTAAATTTAATTTCATCACTTCCACTTTCACGGGTTTAATTACAGACAAATTTTAATTCCAAAAAAGTTACACTCTTTGACTCTCTGCTTTCTTTATTATTATATTTTTTTTCTTTTTCATTCTTTAACGAAGCTCTTTCTAAGCGGCAGCTGTCACATCTACACTTTCAACCTTCTATTTTTTATTTTTTTATTTTATTCTTATTTGGATTATTAAATTCTGTATTTATTTATTTTGACAGCAAATCATGAAATTTTCACTTTTTTTTTCTTTAAAAAATTGGACCCTTTTCTAATATTTTTTTCTTTTGAAAAATTTATCTACTTTCTAATAATAAGATATTAAAATTTTCACTTTCATAAGAATTTAAATTTCTTTTTTTAATAGAAAATGCATTTTTTTATTTTTTATTTTTAATATTATAAATGCTCTCAATTGATCCTAAATTTAAAATTATTGATATGCCGAATGCAAAATATAATATAGAATATATTATAACTGAGAGTCGTATTTATAATTAATTAATTATTTTTGATAAAAAAAATCATTTTATTATATCATATTTGAAACTTAAATCAATGAACATATATGTGATACATTATTCTAAATCAATAAACAATTTTTAAAAAAACAAAACACTAAATGTAATTTTCAATTCAATTTTTTGTATTTTGAATTTAAAACTATAGAAAATACAAGTAATTTAAACAAGTATTTTCCTATGTAGTTTGCCTTACCTCATTGTATGCTATTTAGGGGGCTCCTACACAAAATAATTATTCTTTTGTAGATGAAATAATTATTATAATAACTCTAAAAAGAAATTATTGTAATAATACTCGGGGTATATTTCACGTAGTTGATTTGTTAGGTACATTATTACTAATACCTCCATCATATAATTTTTTTGGGATTAGTATGTATTATATATCATTTAAGTTCAAGAAGAACCTATTAAGCTTTCTTCACTCAAATACCTTAAATTTTATAATGAAATAGTATTTACACATCTTTTGTAACGGCCCCGAAAATTTAAATGAAGATGTATGTATAAAAAATTTTAAATGCAGAAGCGAAATAAAAATTTTGATTAATATCCCTTTACACAATAACTAAAAATGTATTCAACATATGAAAGAATAAGCTGATTAAAAGAAATACTCGAAATAAAAACTATAAATAGAACTATAAAGTCTCTAGACGTCTAACTCACCGTCATCCTGTGGAACGGGTTCGGGAATCACATCTTCCTGATCTGAAATGGTTAAGTAAGGAATAAGCTACATTATCCCAGTAAAGACATCACATTATCTCACTGCCACAGAAGTAAAGATTGGCAGAAAACAAAAACAACTAATGGAGCATAATTTATAACAAATTCATTTATTAATAATAAAAACTTTTACTGTCCACTTACCTCGGTGAAATTTGTGAAAATAACATATGAAGACAATAGCATTATAACCATCATAAAATCATATACACTTAGTAATATAGCACATGTCATACTTTTGCACTTCAATAATCAGGCAACAAATTTCCTCTTTTACCAGCCTATTAGTATCCATAGGGGGTCCCCCCTACACGTGAACCATTAACATTAATAACCTGATTCCAGGGCCGTTCCCATACCCCGTCCAGTAAGGGCGCCAAAATAATAAACCTCA